AGCTATTAGACCCAATTTGGTTTCACGTAATATGTCTTTAGAACATAAGGAAGATTACAAGTAAGAGGAGGTCATCAAGCTTGTTTGGTAAGTAGCAGTTAATTGATCTACGGATCTTGTACAGCTGTTTCTCGCAAAAGACCATGGCACTGGCTTCAAGAACATGACTGAAAAGCTTGTTCCATACACCCACAACTCTTCTGGTAAAGAAGTGCCTCCTGTTCTCAGTTTTAATTCTGAAGAATTTCACTGGGATAACAGTCAAGACCACAGCAAAATACTGGTCACTTGTGAAGTATTTTGTCATCAAATCATGATAAAAGGGTATATACTTTGACAAGAAGCTCTAACGAAGCATGTTTACATTTGTTCATATTTATCGTTATATATTTTTCTCTCGGCTGCTTTGCTGACAGGACCCTGTGGTTTCAGGTGCGGTTGACTGGGAAAAGACTGCAGTCTCCTCTTCAGCAGCACCTGCTGGGAGTCTGAGGAAGCACTGTTCTTGACAAAGGCAGCTTCCCTCACGGGACCAGCTCACCAGCCCAGTTAGTGAAAAATGATGAAAACAAACCGCACAGGAGACACTACAACCTGTGGCTAAAGGTTCCCGAGTAGTTCTACCAACCTTATTTCTCTGGCTCGTAGGAATTATTTTTCCTCTTTTCAGTAGCTCTGACTCAAGGATTTCTGATGCATTTTCTATCGTTAAGGCACACAGCACATAGGACCGATCCAGGGTAAATCTCTCTTCTGAAGTGCTGCATTTGCGGTAAATGTATGTCGACAGAAGAATAATGGACCTGCTTCAAAAAATATGCCTTCATTAACCAAATTGGGCAAACGCTAATCCTACTTCTTTCACAGGTATCAAAAATTCTTTTCATGATTTTAAGAATGATAATCTGTTATTAAACCTTTACTCTAAGCAACCTGCAGGGACAAGACAATTCATTGTGCGGAAACCTATGCTTCAGGAGAGCCAAGAGCACATCTCATCAAGGACAGGGCACGAAGAGAAGGAAAGGTTAGTGCTCTGGACTTGTGCCTGGAAAGTTGTGGGTTCAATTCCTGGATGGTGCCCTGCTCCTGGAGTCTTCCCCCAGGCAATTCACTCAGACTTGCTTCAGTAAAATGTCAAGATGTATAGTTTTGGACTAAAGTATCTGAGAACGCATGGCAGAGTCATGGCTTGAACTGGGAACTTCATGATTAGAGAGAGGCTTTATGTTAAAAGCAACAGTCCTGACTGTCTTCCACCCATTTTTGTTCACAACACAGTGTACTCTACTTGCAGGCACGCATCGGTTATATTGACTGCATTGACCAAGCAGTGTTAACGGCTGTGGGCACGCTGCAATCAAAAGAAAAAAAAAAAGCAACAACCACCAATTGTCCTTTGTGACTGACCTGGAAGACCCCTTGAAAACAATGCAATTAGTAACATCTGAGTTTCAAGAAGGGATATCAGCTTCTAGAGCTTGTGGAAAATACTCTGGTTTGATGTAATTTCTACATTCTGCAGTAATTGGTATTTGAAAGCTATGCCCAGTAAACACAGTCATACCACTGTCTTTCAGCACAGCTGATTTACCCCCCCAGCACTCTGCAGGGCTTGAGCACAACTGCAGCCACACGAGCACAGCGACACTTTGCATCCACACACACTCGCATCAGCGCAGCTACACAAAACACGCCTGACGCTCTCAACTGTCATTTGTACCGCACCTTCGCTGGCTGCTCGCTCTAGGCTAATCTTGCTTGCTGGTGTATCGGTATCTTACATGTATGGGGTTAGCTCTAAGGAAGGACCCGAGGAAGGACACAAAAAGGAGACATAACGGTCTCTGATAAAAGTACTTAATTGCAGGATGTTCCCAGTCCATTTTTTATTTATTGGGGACTGTTCAGGTCAGTCTTGGGAAGACACGGCTGTTCATGCCTATTCCAGGGCATTCCTAAGACAGTTATTTATGTAGCCGAGAGCTGTTCCTTCTTACTGGCCACATCTGACCTTCATTTCCTCCAACCTTGTGCCTCCCAGCTCTCGAGGGGGAACGCCACAGCGCCACAGCAAGATATTAACATTGTTTCGCAGTATAATTAGCTCATTAATGTAATGGTAACAAGATGGAAATCAACTCTCAGGAGGGAAATATTCCAGAGCAACTCAGCAGTTGTCTTTATGGTAAATCACTCAACTTATTTAAAATGAGACAATCAATATCGCAGCATCAGAGTACACAGATAAACTTGTGCACGCCGAGGTTACCGTCTCAAAGCCCATTAAGCTCCAAAGCCATCTAGATGAAAAATAATGATTACCGTGTAACAATATGATGTCCTTGTCTATATTGCACATGGGGACGAACCTGGCTGGCTTCCTGCAACTCCGGAGAATCCTTCGACAGTTTCTGTAACACTCTTTTCAACAGCAGGGGCAGCACAATTTATTCTGCAGTGCAACCTGTCTATGTTATTGTTCAAAACCTCGAATCACACTTTTTTATTCAGGAAACTCAAGTGCTAAATAAAATAAAAGAAGACTTGTTTTTTTCTGTAAGAATGATACAACAGGAATGCATCATGAAACTTTAGACATTTCCTAATAGTGAAACAAGCAGAAGCTTTTTTTAATGTCTTTTCCCTACAAAATACTAACATGATTTAAAAGAAAACTGGTAAATTTGTTTTTGCTAAGTGAACAAATGACAGAAAGCTTAAAAATCTGCGCTGATGGTGGTAAAGTGATGACTGGCGTCTCATGACATTTCCTTAAAGAAACACCAAATTGAGTTGCCACCCAAGATGTTCTGTTTGGTTGTTTCGTTGTGTTTAAAGCACAGTCATTTGGCCTAAGTGTGCATCTCCCCGGTCTTGGATTGATGCACCCTGACAAGGTTATCACAGGACCAGCACAAGGCACAGACCCTTTCAGGAGGTTACAGCTCTGAGTCCTGCTGTGAGATTTGCCTGAGTTTAGGACAGTTCTAAAAAAACCTGAATGTGTGCAACTTTAAGTCTACCCTAGCAGCTTAGGATCCTCCAAGCCACCTGATAAGAATAGCTCCGAGAAGCTGGCCCCCTTACAAACACCACGGATCGTGACTCCCTGTTCATTTTCTTGGCCACTTTTGAGTCCGAGCTGTCAAATTAGCCAGCTGTCGCCACAACCTCCCAGGTGGCATACCTGACTGGGGTTCACTGCGTTTAGCGGAGCCCTGGGCTGCCACACAGGAGCAGCCACTGGGATGGCGCTCGGTGGCTGTGATCTTGCCACACTGCCCTCGGGAGCTGCACCTCTCCATATGAAAGTATGCAGCTTGGAATGAGTAGCAAACGTGGGACACGGCTCTGAAAAAAATGTGTGCAATCTACACTAGTGAGAAGGTCAGAACACGAAAGCTGTTGAAAAACTGATGATCCAAAACTGTGTACTATGTAACAATGTATATAATAATATATACATATGCACAAATTGCTTACTGTGCTTATATTCAAGTGACCCAATTCTCTTCTTCTTTATTTAATGTTTGCATTTAGTCCTGTCAATCTTTATGTGTGTTTATTATAATTCTTAAGAGGACACTTGTAGTAATCCCAGCCGGCGCACACTCTGTTTTTCCAACAAGTTAAGGCAGGGTAATCACGCTGTAATGAAAGAAGGTAACTCCGAGGCCATTCCTTTATCATTACGAAGGGCCAATCCAAGTTTTGACTGAAAACTAAGGATAAAATGAAAGAAATGCCTCTTAAGAAGACAGCCCCCCCCCCCGAAAATGTCAAGAGGATCTCTCAATACAGAAAAAAGGTTCCCAATTAACACAACTAGTCCCAGCTTGCAGGAACAGTGCAATTGTCTGTGAAGCAGCCCCACCCTGGACGCAGAAGTTTTCACGTTCATTATAATACAATAGCTTTCTTCATTCTGCGAGACTCATGGTAAAAAAAAAATGCAATAAAACTCAAAGCAATAAGAAAGTAGGGCCTATTTTGACATTAACAGAGGGAAAAATAGAAGCAAATGCTAATGAGTGAATTGAATGGCCAGATTCCATTAGTGCCTGCTTCCTGTCGAGGAACCTGGCTTCTCAGAATCACTTACCTCTCAATTAACAGACATGTTAAAAAGCAAGAGGCAGTGATTCATAAAACATTGAAACATTTCTTTAAAACGTTTCTGTGACAACACAACAAGATGCTCCCTTTGATGGACTGAACACCGAAGGAAACCAAACAACTGCTCTAAAAATAGTCCAAATATGGAGACCGCAGCATTGACATTTCACTCAGTTGTACACGGTAATAATTTGATGTTATTTATTTTTTGGAAGATCAGGCAAATACCACTTTATATCAGATAGTAAAACGAAAGAGCTCAATGAATGGATATCTTACTATAATCTCATATTATATTACTACTACATACTAGAATATTTTGGAGATAAAATATGTATTGCTCCAAGCTAGGCACGGAGTTTTCTGTATTTATGCAAGAGTGCATTTATTGTCTGACAATCGTGTAGTGTTCTTCTTTTTATTAGCTATACAAATACAATAAACCACAACATCAGGTTGAAGGATAACTAGAACTATGCTGCTAATATTACTTGAATATAACAGAATATATCTGTTATATATATATATGCATACCTGAATATAACAGAGCAACATAATATACTGTACATAAGTTTATATAAGTCTGTAATTCGATTTTTAAAAACCAAAGTCCGATACATCTGCAAGTGTCTGGATGGAAAGCATTCCATGAGCCCTAAGAGATGTTTCAATACCAAATGGAATAGATGGGCCACATGCCCTTCTCTCCTTCCTCCTCTCCATTCGCTTTTTTAATCTCCTTTTTCATGTTCCAGAAGCCACAGAGCGAAAGCAGGAAAGAAAAAGAAAATCAGTTTACTGTAGCTGACGTGCTGTTTGTGTGTAAAGAATGCTGGCTTTATTCGAGCTCAGGCCCAGTGAGCCAAACTGGCAGTACTTACTTCAGAGGAATGCGAGGGACTGCAGTCAGGGAAGAGGCTGCCGTGACTACCTGCAGAATCTGTTCCAGGGCCGAGAGTCCTCCTCCGACCTGAAATGCTACTTGATCTGCATTGTTCTGCAAGCAAAGAACAAGAAACACAGTCAGGAACAGCAAGCTGGGCCAGAGTATCAAATTATTTTCACAGAGGAAATAATTTCTTTTTTCTCCCTTCCAAAAGGGGAGCTGAAGTGAAACCTGAAGCAAAGTAACCCCCCAAGAATTCCTGTTAAACCTCAAAATCCCCCCTCCCAACTAACAATCTGAAAGCAATACGACAAAATATCTACATATTGTAACTACATATATTCAGAATCGGAATTGTTAGCCAGATCTGCGGACAAAAATATAACACTGCCAAATTTAAGTATTTTAATATTTATTTTTAATGGAAACAGTAAATACAAAAAATTCAGCCAGAGTGAGCATTTGGGTATGTTTTAAAGAGCACGTTTAAAAGAATTCCGGAAGTTTTGAACATGTCAACTATAGCACAGGAGAGAAAACTGCATTGCTAGAGAGGATGTATAAAGTCAAAGAAATGAGACTTCCATCATAGAGTAATGGAGCAGAATATCAGAACACAAGTACAGGCACACACTGAAGGTGCTCCATTTAATTTATTTTCAGCTCATTAGTTTTCTATTTAAAAAAAATATTTTTTATATAATATTTTTTTTATATTTCCAAATATTGGAAAGGCAAGTATTTTTTCATTATGCAGTATACCCAGCAAAATTATTGGTGGAACACAGCTACAGCTATCAGACATCTAGACCAATTAAGTAGTGAAGAAGGCTAATACAATCACTGACTGTCATGACCACCCCTTGGACAGCAAATCTTAGGCCCTTTCATCTGGGCACCAGTTAAGACTACCTGGAATCAAGTGCAATAGAACTAAATTATCCTTTATTCCCACGGCTATTAACCTGCTTAATATGGACAACTTTTGTGTAGAATTTACTATGTTACTTTATTTACACATTTCTGTCTTTCTCATCATGTACGTTTCTTATTTGTTAATGGTGTTGTGTCAAACAAATGACAAAGTTCAGGTGTCTGTGAAGCAGAAGTCTCTTTATTCATATTCATATGGAAGTCCGGCTTGCAACCACCAGACTTAAAAAATAAGTAGCTGAAGATGGTCCTTTACACCTTAAAACAAAAAGACTTACTATGACACATTCTAAACAAATAATAAAACGGCAACACCTGCCAATTAATTATATCCAAGCTGCAGACTAGACAACAGTTAGTTCGTTTCATATTATGGGCGTACAGCCAGCTTACCAAATACATGCCCCTTATCTTACTGACCAAGGACAGGCAGCATCTTTATGTATATTTGAGCACAAAGCCTACGTTAAGCCACTAGACTGCATAGTTTGCAAAAAACTACAAAAACAAGAAAATGATATTATCTCACTTCCTGGGCGGCTCTTTTATCTTCTTCATTCTTCCTTACTGTTCTACCAATTATGTTCTGCCTCTAGATAAGAGATGTAGAAACCTTTCCCATTAAATCATTTTTGACCTCCATGATCCCTTCAGAGCATACAACTAGCACAGAAGCAGCAGCTTTAGACCACATGTTTTTCAAGCAGGATATTAACAATATGATCATAACGAATAATACCAGACCCACAAATATGTATTGAACCAGAGACCCCCCCATGTTCCCAGCACAGACTGTAGCCATGCACCAATGCCCCAATCATCTGGATTATAATTATGATATTTTTGTCCTTCATCATAGCTGTGCTGTGCTAAGTAGTTTATGTGCCCAGAATTGTGTGGAATACAAGTACTGCTTAGTCTTCACTCACCTAAACAGCTGTCCTCTATCACCCTAATAGAGGATGGCCTAGAACTGTGTTTATAGCAGGGAGCATACGGTTCGTTCCATTCTAATACATTTAAGTTACACTAAAAGCAGAACTATTTACCCATGCCAATAACCCTCAATAATCACCTCTATCAAAGGGGATTACTCCCATGAGCATCTTTTATAGCAATACAAACCCAACATGAGTTCTGATTATTTGTGGCTGATTGATAAAGTATTGATTCCATATCCCCATTTATCAAAGTAAAACTCCTTACACTTAACAGGCACACTGTCGGCCCCCCTCAGGAAGCTCAACTAACACAAAAACAGTAACAACATAATTAATGTTCACTCAGTCTCTGGTGCAGTGGCTCAGTGGCAGTGTGACGCGTAGATCCAGCGATCTTATCCTGATGGCACTCAGATGGCAGAGTTAGTAGTCAGTGGCACTTGATATGATCCCTCCCCAGCAGGGTTGCAACATCTGGCAGGGTATATCTTCCTCACCCACACCCACTCGCCAGGTATCAGGTCGTGCCTTCCCTCTACTGGAGGTCTCCAGGCGTCCAGCACCTGTTCACCAGCCCCATGCACTGCTTCAATGAACAATAGACAATACTACAATAGAGAATTAACAAATTCAATGATCCATTAGCCAGATTTGGCCCTCCAGGAAGTTTGTTGGTTGGCCCGTGATGATATCAAACAGGCTCTGTTACACAGTTCTGTTTGATCCAGCCCGCAGGCTACACAGGACAGCAGGCAGAACATCTACCCATGGTGTTCCTTCAGTCTGATGTTTCGGCGATCTTTCAGAGTTCTGTTCCTTTGTTCCACTGTTCCAGCAGACTGAGGGTGATCTCAGTCCATCTCACCCCGAACAAGGCAGCCACAGCCTGACACACTTTCCCTGTGAAGTGCATCCCCCTTATAATACAAGCGGCAGGGCAGTGCCCACCGAGAAAACAAATTATAAGAGCCAAGGTTTCCTTCTACAATTGTCAATTTGCCAGTGCATGAAAGGTTCCTCAGGACCAGGCCTTTTGAGCTGTTGCACCCACACCTGAACTGTAGCTGAGTTCCTTTGATAGGCATCACATCGAGATACAACATAAGTGGCTACCGCTTCAAACCAGGTCTCTACCCAGTTTTGGGTGACCGGCACACCATTATCTATCTATCACATAAATGCTATTTCATACAGAAATTCCTTATAAATGCTGCAGGGCATCCCAGCCCAATAGGTCTGGGGTGTCCCCCACCCACATCAGTAGTTGAAACTGTACATCTTTTCCCAAGCA